TAAATCTATAATTGGTGTAGAGAGGGCAAAAACCTTTTTTAATTTATTTTCTAAAAGTTCCGTTCAAGTTCCGCCAGAGGCTGCTTAGAATGCTCTTCAAATGTGGTACCAGAACTTTCAAGTTCTTATATTGTCGCTAGACTTGGAAACCGAAATGACCCACTCGCGACAATCGATTTTACTCTCGTTCTGTACGTTAAACATTACGTCGCATCTATTGCGCTGTATTCGTTAAATGATGCGCTATAGTTCACACTAGATGCGACGTTATGTTTAACGTACAGAATGAGAGTAAAACCGATTGTCGCGAGTGGGTCATTTCGGTTTCCAAGTCTAGCGACAATAACGACTTAAAAATGAGGCTGCTTAGAATTCTATAGACCACCTTCAACCAAGCTGCTTAAAGGCCCAAGCGCAATGACAGCGAAAACGGAACGGCAGTGGCAGCTGAAAAGCCCGATCTGAGTAAGCCTACTTGTCGGATTGAAAACTAGTTAGAACCAAATCGACTTCAGTTAAGCATCTTGATGTCTTTTGTGACAACTAATTAGAACTTTTGGTTACTTGGGATAGCTGTCAATCTCATTATGACTGATCGAATTACATACATTTTAAGGTTAGCCCGAGTAAAATAATAAACAACTTTACACGGCGATAGACCCCCGTTAGTGGGCGTGCGTTAAACCAAAGATGAATACTAAGATGAAACAGTCGGAAGAAAAACTTTCTATTTTAGTGTCCTCTTTCACGGTCCCTTTCATCCAATGAATACCCCTCGCATGCAAGGTAATTTTGTGGTTTTGCTGTCCCCTCGGTAGAGATGAAATCAAAACAATCCCACCAAAATCAGAGATGTCCCATTTTTTAAATTATTCGATTAACATCTAATCGATTATTTTTTGTTCGGTGTGCTGTCATTTTTCCACCAATGAGAGTGCAGCATATGTTTGAAACGATGGGTGATGATCCTAATTGAGGTTAATGCTTATATCAGCATGATAATAACCGATTACAAATATTTTAATTTTCGGTTCGTTTATCGATTACTCGATTATTCGAATGAAAATCGGCCATCACTAGATGAATGTGAAACGTCATTTCAAATTTTAGGTCGTACATAAATAATGATACAATTTGAAAGGGACCGAAGCTAATCACAAATTACGTCCCCATGGTAACTGAAATAAACACGAGTGCGGACCGGTTGGTTAAACGTCTCTAATCTCTATAATATTATAATATAGCGAAGTGTTCATGAGATCCGGCTTGGAGAACTCTATCCAGCTTTACATGCTCGGTAATGGCGGCCTGTTTGTATGAATAAATGTATCCTTCACTGTGCTTTTTGACACTATCCGCCCTCACCCCACACATTTCGAAGCACACAATCCTTCAATAAACTGGCGGAACCTTCATCGACGATATGTTGTTCGATGTGGTCGAATACCAGTCGGGTTTGAAGTTGGATGACGTCATTCTACGGTACATTAGCGTTATCCTAAAGCAAGACAAGTGGTGGTCAAAACCAATCCTATCGTGCAGCGGCACATGATGAAGGCATTCAAGCTGTTGAAGGAGGAAAATAATGAACTACGATGTGGTGCAAATCTATGGCGAGCCCAGCATCAAAAGTGACTTTCTTGATGCTGGGCTTGCCATAGATTTGCACGAAGAGAAGTGCAGCGAGCTAGGTGGTTTGACCAAATCTCGGACCAAATGAAGTCGCAAATGGATAGTGTGGGATACTCAAGAAACAGCAGTCTTGCTGCCTCTAATGGCCGGTTTACACTTGTGCTGGTTGGCCTGTCGCTCTCATCAATGGTTATCAACATGATGTTAACTCGCAGCTGATTAATATTGGCGGTCTGTTCCCGCACTTGCATTTCTGTAAAATTATATTCAGCAAAAAACAAAAGCATGTTGCCGTACTTTCTGCAGCATATGATTTTTTTTACATCATCGTACAGCAAAAGCAAAAAAGCAAGTACAGGAACAGACGTTTTAAGTGCAGTATAAAATCACCGACAAATCGACATGAATGACCATACAAATTACCACGAAATTTCAGCTCAAAGCACACTACCGACATCTGTCTCCGTGTTCACGGAAAACTTTTATCTAAGCCACGAACACGAGTGCAAAATGTATGAGTTGGTTCGCGTCTGATCTATTCTGGCCAAGTTAGTTTTATATAGATGAAAAGTTTCTATGGTTTTGACAGGTGGGATCGCTGCACATTTGAATCGGCAGTTATAGATTTTCGAGCGAAAGTTAAGTTTAAGTTTCATGTCGGTTTGTCGGGGATAAAATCATGTATACACCGCCAACTCCAACAACTCAGCGACTGAATTCAATTGATTCAGAGCATTTTTTTCCATACGAAATTTACTCATTAGCTACGAGTAACTTCAGTTTTTTTTTTTCAAATATGAGTAAATTTCGTATGGAAAAAAATGTTCTAACTCTAGCTCTGAATCAATTGAATTCAGTCGTTGAGTTGTTGCTTGTTGGAGTTGGCCGTGTATATACACACAAAGAACAAAAATTGTTGTAATAAAAATAATTCACTTTCAAATTGAAAATTCCTCAAACTTCATAGTTTCAACAACGAATATTTCAAAACGAAAGCTATTTTTTTGGTTTGAAAGTTTTTCGTTCATTTATGAGTCGTAATTTTAAAAGTGCATTTTTTTAAAATGAAAGTTGCTTTACTGTCCAAAATACCTCTAAACACCAACACTTTTGGCAGCACTGAAATTTTGCCGCTAAATTTTAAGATAAAACATGCAAAACAAAACAGAAGCAGCAGCAGTAGTGTCATATCAATCCACTTCCCAAACATACATTCTGCCCGTCCCTAAAACTCGCTTCCGGTTTTAGATTTCCGTGAATGGTTTTGAAATGTTGGATCAAATCAAATAGGCCCCACTCGACGATCCAGTAAGTGTTTTTTATATTTTTAAATAACCTTTATAAATGCTTACTACTTTCGCTGTTTACAGTATTACCTCAAAACGACCCAAAATGAACGTTCGCACCATCTGCTGGCCAAAGTTGGCGTGGAACCGTTCATATTATCCCAAGATACCACGATCGAGTGCCGCACCGATTGAACTTTAGCAATCAATTACTGCCAAAATAAATGCGAAGCCCGAGGCCTTTGCCGGATTCGTTTCCCAGATTTAACTGTTCCTCGGACTGTATAATGTGCATCATATTTACTGTAGGTGTAATCTATTTTCTCAATGATTTTGAATTATAGACCCTTCAACATGTTCACAGGTTACAAGGATTATCAATCTTCAAGGAAACCAGGGAGCTGGCCTGGAGACTACTGGCAGAGATAAAAGCAATGCTTACAGTGTGCCAAATGCATGATATCTAACGATCCAAAACCGTTGATACATACTGTCTGAGTTCATCAGTTCATCACGAGCCATGATTTGATATCATAATAAAAATAATATATATAAAATTGAATAATAAAAAAACTCTACATGTCATACTGAAAATGCTGGTATTTAAAATGAAAATATTTTAATTGTTGAATTCAAAGTGAAAAAGATCGTTTCAATTAGACCACACTTTCATGATAAAAATTTGTTTTGAATTTAAAATAATCCACTTCTTATTCCAACACTGCCATGCTTTTGTTTTGACAGAAGTACAATTCGTTTTGAAAGTTTGAACTTTTAAAAGTAGGGAGCGGTTAACTTTTGAACTGATAGTAGGCGAAATTTTATTTTAAATTCTAAAGACTTTCTACCAAAAAGAACCAACGCAAACTTTTAATTCTACCAATGGTTTTTTAATTTTACTAACGATTTTTTTTTGTGTGTATGATTTTATACTGCAATTGGCGTTGACGGTGACTCTGTAGCTCTTTACTCCTATGGTAAAATCCATAAGCAAAAGTCAGACTTTGCGTGAAACATGGCGGATTTCGTACTATCCTTTCACTTCACCGAAAAATCCCATACGAAACTGTCAATCTTTTCTAGAGGAGACGATTTTTCGACGGTGCCGTCAACGCCTATGAAGGCTGTGAACCATTTGCCGATTTAAATTTAACTTGTGGTTAAAAGTGACATTTCGAAAGTTATTTTCTATTTCGGATAGCAGGGTTAATCGATAACTTTCCATCTGTAAAATTTTAACCAAAAGTTAAAATAATCCACCAAATGGTTCATAGCCTAAAAGGTCTGTTCCTGTACTTGCTTTTTTGCTTTTGCTGTAAGGTGATGTAAGAAAATCATATGCTGCAGAAAGTACGGGAACTTACTTTTGCTTTTTAATGTACAGAATCATTCAGAAAAGCAAGTACGAGAACAGACCTAAGTTTTTCCACAAACTTATCCGGTATACACATGTTAAATCAGCATTATGAACCAGCACTAGTGTATGTAAACCAAACATAAGTGAGCTACTGTATTACCTGACTTATAACGAATATACGTTGTATACGAGTACACCGAATACAACGTATGACTCGTCTAATTTTGGATAGCATTTGCAATGTAAATTTAGATGAACTACTACGGGGGCAGCATTGTAAAACAGTACACTGCACTACAAATCAATGTGGTAAATCTATTAATTCTTTAATTAATTTTATTCTTTAATTCTAAATCACAAAACAAAAACACAATCTCGTTCAGCCGACGCTCGTTCAGTATATAATCTCAATAAAACAGAGACTTATTTCTTTGATTAATAAAAAAACGAAAACTAATAGCGAATTTGTTGTTGATTCAGTTCCATCCTGGATCGGGTATCAAGATTGGGTCTGATTGTTGCCTGTTAAACGTCGCTGTGAACGTTTGTTTTTGTAACCTGGCTCGGGTTGAGGATCGAACAGACAATAAGCTCGGGTTCACACGGGTTGGAACTGGTTCCAACCTGAATAATAAACAAATTTACTATAAGTTTCCTCTAACTTGAAACTTTTACGATGATAACGATACACGCACTATGCAAAGCTCAGCAGTCTTCGCCTCCACTTATCCCTCTACGTTTTTTTTGATAAAATTGTCCAACGGTTGCCCCACGGGATGGCAATGATTCTGGTCGGTTTTCTTCAGGAACGCTACCGATAGGTTTGCATGTTCCATTTCTGTATAGGCCTTATGCATAACTTTCTGACTCGGGTAGCGATGCCTGGTTAGGATCCATGCAATTTCTAAAAAAAAGAAGAAACCCATTTAAAACATGACCTGAGAATCGAACAAGGACGACATACTTCCGTTTACGAGACCGTACTCACTGCAGGTAACTACCACAGCATAATTGCTGTAGTCGGTTCCGATGATGAAGTAAGGGGCGTCACTTTTCCCTGTGAATCGAAAGAATTCGAGTGTTCAACTGGAAAATCTGTTGAGGTGGAAACTTACATGGTTGTGGGAATCTAACTTTTAGCTTTCCAGGAAACAGCATTCTACCATATCCGTGCTCTCCGGTTTCAATTCCAGTGCTGTAACGAAGGAGTTATAGTTAAAAAAAAGTAAGAGAACATTTCCAATGGTCTATTTTGCGAAATGACAGAAGCCATTGCTTGACATAAATGATTATATTGATTATGCTTCTTACGGTGTTTTGTTTCGAATTATAGTCACAAACACAATTTAGGTCATTCGTGACTTTTCCGGGAATGGTAACATAGAGGTATAGCATATGGCATAGAGGTAACTCTAAGACTAGAAGGTCCCGAATAAACGTGCTCAACTTTTTGGCTTAGCTGTGGTACCATAGAGGTAGCTCTAAGACCAGAAGATCCCAAAGAAACGAGCTCAACTTTTTGGCTCACCTCTGGTACTATCTTCGGTCCCAAGCAATCGATGCACCCCTCGAAACATTCGAAAATCCACGAACCCTTCATTTTATCTGTCAAACTTTCATAGCGAATCAAAACAAACATAGTGTAGTACTGGAATTTGGACTAGAATGGGATACGTTAATCGATTTGCTTGGGACCAATAGGCTAGTCAAATAGAGAACCAATTTAAAATTGTTAGTTGCCACCGGTTGCTAAAACTGTTCGATAGAATAATTAATTGAAAGGTCAGCTCATCAGGAACGTCTCGTAAAATTAACTATTCATTCAACTTACAGCTTGTTCTCGTGTCGATTTATGATGGATAATGTTCCGTCGTGTTTCATGCTGTACTCAGCTGTGTTACATTTTCCTCCGATTTGAAACAGGTTAGGATATTTTCTCTGCTCATACCACAGACCAAGGAAGGCACTTGGATTGAAGTCTGCTACCACGGGCATATACGGGCACTTGCCCAGAGACACGACTTGGCCATCGGCGATTAGGAGGCAGAGTGACAATAACAGGATCGCTAGTGTAAGGTGACTGAAATGATGAACAAGATTGAGAGATAGTGTCATATAGGCTCTGTTCCATTTGGTAAACTTTCAGTAATTAAAGTATTTAAGGTAATTAAAGTATTTAATGAAATTAACAGTGTATTTAAAGTAATGAATGCAGTAAATGGCTGAATTTTTTACAAAAAAGTAACACCCCAACAAACAATTTGTGCTGATTGAAAGCTGAATAAGCTATTTTTTAGCTGAAGAAGCATATTTTTGCCTGAATAAGCTCTTATTCTGCTTCCAATGTTTGTTGTTACATGCAAATCGGAGAAGGTTGAGTCTTAAATTTTTATTTTGTATCCTATTTGGCCTGGAACTGGTCAGCTGTGTATAATCAGAGATTGAAACAACCGAGGAAACAACTCTCTGTCGTGAACCGACGTAATTAACAAATTATACCATACTCTCAACAACTCGTCATTTTCTCTCATTTGGACATTCTACACTCGATTCTACCTACTTCGAGTTGCCTGTGTTGGTGTTCACAAGGGTGTTCATTAGACTGATGCAAAATTTGAAATTTTCGCTCCACAGTGCTCAAACAATTCCAAATTGGGTCCTGCTTAGCCTCCAAAAATTTGAACTACTTTAGTAAGAATCTGACTTGGCACAAACTATTTCAAGTTTATATGGGAATTACTATGAGAAAACTTATATTTTTGTTTATATCTATCTAACAATTCACCACATCACTGTGCATTCAAAAATGATAGCAGTGATTGCAGCAAATATTTTCAGCTAAAACTTTGTTCGAAACCATTTTTCAATCAAATGTACGAAACAAAAGTTATTAATGATTCAAGTCACTGATCCCTAATAAAAATTGTATGGTTAATTTGCTTAACGACGTGTTCTGGGTATCATCCAAACCATTTGTGGAATAGTTCAATGATTTGGGTTATCATTCGTACATGGTTATTTTTTATTAGTGATGTCTTATGATTATGCTCATTCAACTGTTCAGCAGGCAACAATGGTGTATCTGGTGAGAAGAATAGAGCACAAATATCATGGCTACTATGTCACACTGCAGAATATAGTGTTGCTAACAGAACAGCTGCTTGATCATGCCATAAGGTTATCAATCTCTTACACAATTAATAACAATTTAATTTGGCATTTGGCTGAAAAATGATATTCCGCAAAGTTGTAGCATAGAAAAATTTCATTGGGCAAAGTTAAACGCTGTCCAGACTGAGCAGTTATAACATGTTATAACGTTTGTCAAATAATTACAACACAGAAACCACCATCAAGATAGCGCTATAACATGTTATAACCATAACTCTGTAGTCTGAACATACTATTAAAGACAACTTGCAACAAGAAGTCAATTATCGGGATTTTCGTTTTGATTTTGGTTTTTTTGGATCACTTATTGCTTGTATCATAAGGAATATGTTTATAGGAAAGTTTGAACATATTGAGAGGTAAGCACATATCATCGGTAAGAGACATGTGTGTGAGAAAATTTGCGAAAAAATCTAAGGGCACCGGTGGGATTCGAACCCACAATTCCCATTCAGTACACGGGTGCATTGCCAATTATACAACGGTGGACCTATGGTCTACGGATGTATTTGGCTAATGACATTTGAGTTTCGAATCCGTTCCCCACCCTAGTCTTTTTGCGCAAGCGTTCTCTGATACACAACAATCGTCTATTATCGACGATATGTGCTTGTACCGCAACCACTCAGTATCAGTCGATGTGAACAAACACAGCTCATTTTTTTGTTATTCATCTTACATGCTGAAATATGTCCAGTACAGTATGACTCTAACATTTTGAGCTGCCGGCCTCACCTCCGACCACCGGGCCGTAGTTGATGAATATCAATTACTTTTACTTTTTGATTTTACGGTTTTGCGACTTTGCAGTCAATTTAATTGTTTATAGGAAAGTTATGGAATATGTGTACCTAAGACACCAAGACGATTAGACGGAAACTCGTGCTTTTATCATAAGTGAAAACGCGCTTATTAGTCCAGTTTAGTGTTAAATGCGCAATATTCTACTGTTGGATAATAACAACTGACTTCAGACACAGGGGCGAGTTTTGTTATCTTTGATGCGATGCATTGTGTTGTGACAGTTCATTTTTGTAAATAAAAAATATTATAATCGCTTTACAAATTTTTCGCCAAAATAATGCCCAAAACTAATGAAAACATGGATACTTCCCCTATTGGTAAGTTAAAAAAACCAACAAACTACAATGACTTTAATTAAAGACTGGCACTTCCCTTTGCAGAACCCTCCGCGGAGCTGATCTTCATTGAAAACCCCTTCGAATGCGCCGACATCAAGACGGAACCACCGGACGATTTGGTTCCGGAGCCGGATATCGCTTTCCCGCACCTACCGTGCCGAAGCACGGCCGAAGTGGCTGTCCAAACGGCGAAACGTAAGAACATGAGCCGTGGCGTTCAAGTGGATCTGCAGCTGATTCCGAAGGAGGCGCTAGGCAATTTTGTAGACGAGCCGCTTGGTCCGATTTTGGCGAAGGAATCGTTCGAGAAACAGTGCCGGATATGTTTGCGACAGTTTCCCGGGTCAGGCTTAGCGTATATTTTGTTCCCTCAGAAGACGAAGATTTTGACTGCGCTGGGAGTCAAGGTTTACCTGGGAGATGCTTATCCGTTCATTTGCCGGACCTGTTCGAAGCTGGTGGATATGATGTACGATTTCAGGAACACTTGTTTGCGGGCGAGAAATATGTTGGCACACGAGCGGAAGGCCATCCCGGCGAAGGATTGGGACAGTGAAGAGAACCTGAAGGCCATCGATTACTGTATGAATTTGCTTGAATCACACCGGCGGGACATTGATGCTGCGTACGAGGAATCATCTACTTTTAGCAAGTTGGAAAAGTCCAGTACTGCGCAGGAAGACGTTAAAGTGAAACCGGAGGTTATCGAAATGGTGATGGTGGATCACGTGGAAGCAGGGGAACCAGCTGCAGTGGAAGCAGATCCAGTGCCACAGGAGGACGATTCTAGTAGTAATCATTCTCGGACGAAGGCGCTGAAAGTTGAACTGAATAGAGTGGATGGGAGGGATATTTCGTTGAAAAATGAAGCTGTTTCGGATGACGATTACCAACCTGCGTCAGAGGATGATGAGGATGTGGATGAGGAGGAGGAGGTGGAGGATGAAGACGATTACGTACCTAGTCCGTCGCCACCGCCTGCAAAGAAGAAGCGAGTAAGGATAGTTACGAAGCCGTACAAAAAGCGTCAGAAAAAGGAGAAAAATCCGAGAAAGGACGATGATCTGGCCTTGCAGGATAGTGAAAGCAGGCAGAGGAACAATAAGAGAAAAAACGCAACGGATCCGAACCGAAAACGACGTGGGGCGCTTTGTGATTTCTGCGGCGAATGGGTCGAGTACCATACGGTCGAGAGCCACCAGAACCAGCATTTAGGTGAGTTTTTTTTTTTCAACACTTGGAAACGTATCTAAAACACGACTGATTCGTTCCCAGGACTCAAACCGTACGTCTGTCAGGTGGAGGGATGCACATTGGCTTTCTACTGTCGAAATCTGCTCATGAAGCACATCCGACGTCAGCACAGCGCCGATGGACCCGAGTATCAGGATTGTGATATATGCGGCCAACGAATAAAGGGTCCGAAGGCAGCGCTTACCAAGCACCAGAAAACGCACACCGAAGAGAAAAACTACATCTGTGCCGTTTGTGGTAGGTTTTCCCGCTAGGAACCTCTTCAGCTCGTCCTAATTGCATTTATTCCCAGGAAAAGGATTCACCACCCCCGGTTACCTACGGCAGCACTCGATCATCCACACGGATCTGATGCCGTACGAGTGCAACGTTTGCCATCGAAAGTTCAACAACAAGTACAACATGCTGACGCATGAGAAGAAGCATTACATGCGGGGCGAATCGACGGGCTCAAGCAGCGCTAGTGCTTCGATCGATCCGTCCGCCAGCAGTGCTGTAGCAAGTCAGCAGCAGTCGGACCCAGCATCTCTACCGCACTTTCCGGGATATCCCATACCGCCGCATCCCATACATCATCCTCTCCCGTCGCTTCATCAAGCTGGGCTTCATTCGCAGTGAGTATTTTCTCTGGTGGGAATTTAAGTCAACAAATGAACTATACCTAGAATCGGTATCAGTTTTTTTTTGTGTAAATAGAGATTGCCGAAATTATATCGATATGTTTGCTTGTACTTTTAAAAACTAGTTGAGAAACTCCGTTCCAACTTTTAGTGCTTTTTAGTTACAAAATTAGATTGATTGTGTGTTTGTGGAGTATATGTACGTCTGCGATGTGTTGTTATCTAATATGCACTCTGTGCACGCATGTGGATGAACAGATAATTATAACTCGACGATTCCGACGACGGCTAGAAACGAAAATTCGAGAGAGCGAACGAGGGAGTTAAAGAGAGGGATGGGGGAATTTGCTCGATAACAGAAACGAATCAAATGGGTAGTACAGTGACTTCCAGTTTTTGGCAACACTACTGCATAAGATTTTTCCTCTGTTTTGCATCTTTGCTTTCTGGATATTTTTTAACATGCACATTACCAGTATAGTCGCTATATTCATAGCCTGGCGGATAGAATCTCGGGAACCAATTGAGCTGTCAAATAGCGGAACCAATCGAGCAAATCACGACCAACAACAGAAATGAGCACATCAGCTATTGTGAACAAAACTTCGGAAACCCTTTTCTCGTGACTCAAGGCTCGCCTACGCAAACTAACACCATCTTTGGGTTGAGGAATGTTTTCCCTATGCCGGTTATTTGCGTTCGATTGGCGAGGAAAGAATAATCAACGTTTTGTTTAGAAAAGTTGATAGTACCTTTTCAATTATTGGTCTAAAATATATTGAATTGGTTCTGCTTTTTGATAGATCGAAATTCTATCCGCCAGACTATGAATATAGCGACTATAGTTACCAGTCATTTCTGATGCCTTAAAATATTCTAGTAATGTCATAAACTAAAATTTGTTATGGATTGTATTGAGCACTCCGTTATTTATTTATTTATTTATTTATTGTTCTCTTCGTCGGACTTTTGTTATCTGAATGAAGATTGATGGGGAAAAGCATATTTGGCAAATATTTGTGCAAATAGGCGTAAAAACCCCATATCTTTTTGTTCGCGAGCCATTCCTACCCTACCCCTCGATTGAGAGTGCTGAACCCCAGTTTCAAGAAAGTTTTTTGAAATGCACGACTTCCGCTGTGCGAGCGAGCATCGAGAGTAAAGAAGAACATAAAATCCATTCAGTACACGTGTAACCGTCAACCAGTAAAGAATAAAATTACAGTCCGCTTGCTATACAAATTCGATTCCATTATTTTCAGTCCGGATTTCGATCTCCCGTCTCCGCCAGTGTTTAATTTCCCTTCGTTTGTCCTCTGTGCGTACATTTGGTCCTTCGAGCCGGATTTCGCGAGTGAACCATGGAAGTCCTTCGAAATCGACGCGACGTGCTTTTCGAGCGAATGAAGTGGGAGCATACAAATGCGCGTATTGTGGAGAGCCGAAATCCTCCGCCAAGTGAAGTGCAAGAGCGATTGCAGAAAATAACAGACTTGAGTGACAATTTTGAAAATGTGCAAAGTGAAATTGAAGAGTCCACTCCCGGAATCAGTGAAATATCGACGATTTTCAATCACCGAGTGGAATTTGAGACCATCTATTACCAAACGAAGAATTTGTATTTGAGCTGTCTCGACGACGCTACCCTTCATGGAAACAGTGATGGCGCCTACGTCGAACCAAGGGATGACCTCAGGGAAGCCATTAAGTTGCTGGTGGATTCGCAGCGTATGCTGGCAAATACTCAAGCTGCAGCTTCAACGTCGGTGCAACAGTTAGCTGGCCAGCTCCAGTCAGTAAATGCATTCCGGCCGTTAGCTGGTGCTCCTGTTCCTGGAGGTGAATTTCCACTCGAGATCAAGCTGCCGACGTTTTCGCTTCCAGTTTTCCACGGCGATCGGAAACAATGGAATTCATTCAAGGATCTATACGTCAGCTGCGTCCACTCCAAACATCTCAAGGATTCGGTGAAGTTGCAGTATCTGCTTTCCCATTTGGATGGGGAAGCGAAGAAATTAGTGAGCGCTTTCAGTATCACGGATGCAAACTACGTGGAGGTATGGGATAAATTGAATGAACACTACGATAAGAAGAAGTATATCGTGACAGCACTGGTGAAGGATTTTGTAGAACAACCGTCGGTGAACGCTCCGTCTCTCACGGGTCTTCGCAAGCTTGTCACGACCGCAGACGAGGTTGTCAGGCAGCTCAAAGCGCTCGGTCCAGAATACGAATCTCGTGATCCATGGTTGATCCATCTCCTCGTAGATAAGCTCGATCGTGAAACTCGCTCTATGTGGGCTCAAAAGGTAGTCAATCTGGATAATCCAACCTTTCGGGAATTTCTAACATTCCTCGAGCGAAGATGCGACGCGATGGAGACTTATGCGTCTTTCACCAGGAAGGGGAACGAAGTAGCAGTAAAGAAGGATTCTGAACGAAGGGGAGAGCAGAGTACGAAGGCCGTTCCATCAAACAAAGTGGTTCAAAGCTTCCATGCAAGCACTCAGTTGTCCTGTCCCATATGTTCTCAAGCTCACACAATCTACCAGTGTGCCAGCTTCAAAGAAATTGTAGTAGGCGACCGGCGGGAACTTGTCCAGAGGATCAAGCTTTGCTACAACTGTCTCAAGCCATCACACATCTCAAAGGATTGCACGTCAGCAATAGTGTGCAAACATTGCAAGCAGAGACACCACACTCTTCTGTGTCTGGTAAATACAAGCAACGTACAGGATTCTGCCCAGCGTATCGAACCTCCTGTGGCCAGTGATAACGAAGAAATCCTAGTTCCAAAGTCGGAAGTTGAGGATTTTGTGGCATCGTATGTCACGAATTTGGAGACCTGTCGTTCAACTGACTTCGTAAGCATGTTGCCAACAGCAGTCGTTAAGGTCCTGGGAAAGGACAATGTGTTTCACGAAGTACGGGCGATTATCGATTCTGCTTGTATGAGTTCGATGATTACCAAGATGATCACTCCAGGAAAACACAGCAAAGCGGATGGAGCAGTAACGCTGCAGATCTCATCGCGATTCGACGAAACAATTGTTGTCGTGGTGGATACACTAATTCTCAACCAACTTGTTTCAGATCAACCGTGCCAAAAGTTCACCGTCGATACCGGCGCCCTCGCTGAGGCACCCTTAGCAGATCCACAGTACAACCAACAATCAATACGAAACTAACGATTTTAAATTGGCTCACCACTTTAGTAGCCTATTGGTCCCAAGCAAACGATTAACCTACCCTATTCTAGTTGAAATTCTATTACTACACTATGTTTGTTTTGATTCCCTATGAAAGTTTGACAGATAACATCAGGGGTGTGTGGATTCATGCAGAACATGCAGGGGTGAGTGAAATAGCTTGGGACTGCTTGGGACCGTTGTTCTGGTACTGAGTGAGCCAAAAATAATAATGATTTTCTTCCGGACCCAGTGGTCTTAGAGTTACCTCTATGGTACAACGAACGTGGTAAAATCGATCTGTTATTGGGAGTAGGAGTGTTCTTCTCCGTTCTAGAGCCAGGAAAGCTGGTAGACAATCGCGGCATTCCACTGGCCCAGAATTCAGTCTTCGGCTACTTGGTGGGTGGCCGTTTTGAAGCTTCATCGCAAAATGCTCGTAGCAACGCGGTGATCAACCTAGTTACCGAGGTCAACTTGGATCAAACGTTGCGGAAGTTTTGGGAAGTAGAGGAAATACCAAATGTCAAAATACTGACTGAAGACGAATGCCGTGCAATCGACCATTTCAATTCAACCGTCTCACGAAGTGCGGATGGACGATACGTTGTTCGTTTACCTTTCGACGACACGAAATCGGAGCTTGGTGAATCTGCTACCGCTGCCATCCGGCGCTTCTATGCAATGGAGCGGAAGTTCAGCATCGATCCACAACTCAAGCAGCTCTACACGCAGTTCATGACTGACTACTTGCCGCTTGGTCATATGGAGAAGATTTCCCCTGCGGAAGTTCCCGTGCCAGCGAACAAATGTTTTTACCTTCCATCTTTTCGATCAAGCTGCCGCAGGAAGAAGATACTTTGAAGGCTCTCGGGATACGATGGATACCACAGGATGACATTTTTTATTTCAAGGTTTCATTCGACATCAACAGTGTAAACACGAAACGTCAGTTATTATCCGATTCATCGAAGTTATTTGATCCATTCGGGTGGATCGCTCCAGTGATTGTGCGATCGAAAATACTTTTCCAGCACCTCTGGCTGTATGACCTGCAATGGGATGATCCGCTGCCTGCCTGTATTTGCGACGAGTGGATCGAAATGAAAGAAACGCTTCACCACATCGAAACGATCCGCATCAATCGGTGGATCTCACATCAAGACGGGAGGCTACAGCTCCATGGATTTGCAGATGCCTCTGAAGCGGCCTACGCTGCCGTGGTTTACGCTCGCTCTATGGATGAAGATGGAAAAGTATGCGTTAATATTGTGGCTGCTAAGACCAAGGTGGCACCAATTCAGCGAATTTCATTACCAAGGCTAGAATTATTGGCAGCAGATTTGCTAGTGGACTTGATGACAAGACTCATGGATTCGTTTTCGGATCTGAAAGTTGAGTTATTCGCGTGGACGGATTCGTCCATGGTTCTACAATGGCCGTCGTCGCATCCTCGAAAGTGGAAGACCTTTGTGGCTAATCGTACCTCGAAAATTCTCAACTTTCTTCCAAGAAATCGGTGGTATCACGTTGCATCTATGGAAAACCCCGCCGATTGTGCTTCGAGAGGTGTTTCACCGATCGAGTTGGTGAACCACGCTCTCTGGTGGACTGGCCCCAGCTGGCTCAAGGAAACTACTACAACCTGGGTATCATCACATGAAGACGAGATATTTGAGGATGAAGAGATGTTGGAAAGACGGGCAAAAGTAACGTGTTTGTCAACTAATGTCATGCCAAACCGCAATTATGACATAGAAAACTTCCTGCTGAATCGTTACTCAGATTTGAATCGTATTCGACGCATTTTATGCTGGGTCAACCGAGTTGCCACGAACCTCAAAGCTAAATTGTACGGTACTCAAAGCT